TTTGCAGACTGGGAAGCTCAGTACCCCCAAAAGGCAGAAAGCTGGAAGGCTATCAAACACCCAGTAAGTGGTTCCATGAAGAAAGACATTTTTAGAATGCTATGCCAATGTGGTTAACATATTAGCCCTTTTTATTAAAATTTAGATTTTCTTAGGAAAGGATTTTAAATCATTAATTTCTGAGCTTCCAACACAAGCCCTAGATCTCAGTAAACCTTCCATAAGTATTGATTGATGAAAGAAAAAACAAGCATGGATTCCATTCCGTTTCTGTGAAGGGAAAACTTGAACATAATTCTCTGGCTTTGCCAGAGCTTTCCAGGTGTTTGAATTAGTGTCCTAGTTAGCATTAAACATCATCTCAGCACAGGCTACAATTATGTGAAAAAGAAGTCTTAATTGAGTGTCTTGTCAGGTTTGTGTAAGGGCGTTTCTGTGAGGGACTGTTCTGATGGTTCAGATTCACAGGGTGACCATGGGTGGTACCATTTTCTTCCTGTAAAATGGCCTAGCCCACCATGGGTGGTCTCATTTCATGTAAAAGGGCCTAGCCCTCCATGGGTGGTTCCATTTCCTGTAAGAGGGCCTAGCCCACCATGGGTGGTCCTATTTCCTGGACAGGTGGTTCTGGGCTGTATAAGAAAGTTAGCTAAGGGGTTGAAGAGATGACTCAGCAGTTACAAACAGGTACTAGTTTTCCCAGAGGACCTAAGTTCAAGTCCCAGCACCTACATCAGATTGTTCACAGCTACCTGTAATTCCAGCTCCAGGGGGATCCAGTGCCTCCCATGTCCATCCACACTAGATACACACACATGCACATAATTAAAAATAACTTTGAAAAAAAAAAGTCAGCTAAACACAAATGAGAGACTGAACCAGCAGACAGTATTGCTCCATGGTTCCTGCCTTGAATTCTTGCCCTGACTTCCCTCAATAATGGATTGTGACCTGGAAGTGTAAACCAGATTAACCCTTTCCTCCCCAAGTTGCTTTTGGTCACAGTAGTTTTTTGTTGGTTTGTTTTTTGTTTTGTTTTGGTTTTTGGTTTTTCAAGACAGGGTTTCTTTGTATAACAGTCCTGGCTGTCTTGGAACTTGCTATGTAGACCAGGCTGGCCTTGAACTCACAGAGAGCCTCTGCCCCCCAAATGCTGGATTAAAGGCGTGCGCCACCACCACCCAGCTAGTCAGACTCTTTGAACACAGCAACAGAATGAAACTGGAGCAGAGAGCATGCTTTTTGAGAAAGCAGCCTCGAAACCGTTTTTTCTTTAACTTTCTTTTTACCCAGTGGGTGTAGTGGCACATCTATAATCCCATCACTCACTGGGTGTGGGGGCACACCTACAATCCCATCACTCACTGGGTGTGGGGGCACACCTACAATCCCATCACTCTGGAAGCTGAGGGATCAGATGTTGAGAGTTTGAGACCAACCTGAGCTACATAGTGAGACCTTGTCTCAAAAAGCTACAGCAAGAAAACACTTCTTATTTGGAAATAAGTATAGATTCATAGAAAGGTGCAAAAGCAGTAGAGAAATTGTGTGCCTGGCGGTGGTGGCGCACACCTTAAATCCAAGCACTTGGGAGGCAGAGGCAGGTGGATCTCTGTGAGTTTGAGGCTAGCCTGGTCTACAGAGTGAGTTCCTGGATAGCCCAAAGCTATGCAGGGAAACCCTGTCTCAAAAAACCAAACAACAACAAAAAAAGGGTAGAGAAATTGTCGTCTTAGTACAGTTTCTCAGTAGCAGCTTCTTGGTAACAGTTTGAATCTGGACGCTCCCCTACAGGTTCATGTTTTAGAGGTTTGGTCCTTAGGTGGCAGTGCTGTGAAGGCGGGCCTGGTTGATGAAGTAGATCAGGGAGGGCAGAGCCTGCTCAGAGTTCTGCCCTGCACTTCCTGCTGCTTCTGGGCTGCAGGCACTAAGCCTCAGCCACTGACTCACTGCTCTGCTCTGACTGACCCACCATGGTGGATTGAAACTGTTTACAGTTATGTGATAACCTTTGAGTGCTAAAATTCTTCCCATATTTAGATTACAAATATCTATTTGCTTACTTTGTTTCTGAGTTTGGGCAATAAGGATACCTAATACTTCCTTAAGCCCAAAATCGAGAATTAAATGGAATTAAACATTTGATTGTCTATTATTACTTTTTCTCTCAGAAGTATCTTCATCGCTTTTGGATCACTGTAACCAAATATCAAGGACAACTTGAAGGAAAGATTGGGTTTTGGATCCTGTTACTTGGGCAGAACATCATGGTGGCAGGGGTTTGCGGCAGGTGTGGTCGGGGTTGGGTGGGCTCCTTTAGTTCTCAATGGCCAGGAAGCAGAAAAAGAAGTCAGACCAAAATGCAGCCCCCTCCCCGTCCCCCGCAACCCCAATGACCTGCTTCCTCCTCTCAGACCCCACCATCCACAATTCCACCATCTAATAGTACTGTGATATCATGACTCCACAAAGTATTAACTCATTCATTTGGATTCACTAAGATCAGAGCCCTCAGGACCTAATTGTCCTTTTTTTTTTTTGGTTTTTTCAAGACAGGGTTTCTCTGTGAAGCTTTGCGCCTTTCCTGGAACTCACTCGGTAGCCCAGGCTGGCCTCGAACTCACAGAGATCCGCCTGGCTCTGCCTCCCGAGTGCTGGGATTAAAGGCGTGCGCCACCACCCACCCGACCTAATTGTCCTTTAAAGGCCATCTTATCCACATCTATAGCTGAGTTGAGCTCCCAGGTGATTTTTGTTTTTTCAAATCTTAAAAAAAGATTTTTTATTTACTACTACTACTATTATTATTTTATTTTTCAAATTTTTATGGCGCCAGGTGTAGTGGCAAATGTCTTCAGGAGACAGAGGTAGGAGGATCTCTGTGAGTTTGAGGCCAGTTTAATTTATATAGAGAGTTTCACCCTGTCTCAGAAAAAAAAAATGGTCAAGGTATTTTGCCTGCAAGAATGTCTGTGTGTTATGTACATGCATTGCCTCTGGAGGCCAGAAGAGGACATTAGATCCCCTGGAACCATAGTTAGGATGGTTGAAAGCCACCATATGGGTTCTGGAAATTGAAATCAGGTCCTCTGAAAGAGCAGGCAATCTCTTAACTACTAAACCATCTCTCCAGCCCCCTATTTTTATTATTTTTAATTATGTATATGTATGTGTGCACATGTGGCATGTGCATATGAGTGCAGGTGTCCTCAGAGGCCAGAGGCATCAGGTCTCTGGAGCTGGAGTTAGTCATGAGCCATCATCGAAAGTGGACACTGGGAACTGAACTCAGATCTTCCATGAGATCAGGGAGTGCCCCTGACTGCTGAGCTATTACTTCAGCCCCGCCTAGGTGTTTCCTAATGTAATCATGTAGACAATGAAGACTAACCATCACAGATGTGCTTGATTCCTGGAACCCCAGGACATCCTCTTTGCTTCCTAAATGAGGACGATAATGCTCAGAGAATAGACATGCTAGCCAGTGTGGGACCAGGACCCAGGACTGAATGTCCTTCCTGTCACTTGGTGCTGTCAAGCTTTGAAAAATATTACTAAAGCTGGGTGTGGTGGCACTCACCTTTAATTCCTACAGAGGCAATGGATTTCTGAGTTGTAGGCCAGCCAGGGATTTTAAAAAAAGTCATGTTAGTAAGTGTTTAGTACTATCTCACTGTAGTTTGCTTTGTTGAGACAGGGCTTCTCTGTGTAGCCCTGGCTGTCCTGGAACTGGCTCTGGAGACCAGGCTGGCCTTGAAGTCACAGAGATCTACCTGCCTCCCAAGTGCTGGGACTAAAGGTGTGAGCCACCACTGCCCAACCATGGTTTTATTTTTAACTTCTCCAATAACTAATGATATTGAATAAATTTCCTTTTGCCATGCTTCTCTCTTCTGTGGCAAAAAGTTCAAATCCACTGTACATTTTACTGCTAGTAGTGGCTCTCTCATTTTTGAAGGCTTTGTTTTGTTTACTATAATGCAGTTTGTGTTTTGTTTTGTTTTGTTTTTGTTTTTTTGAGACAGTGTTTCCCTGTGTAGTTTTGTTTTCTTTTTTTTTTTTCTTTTCTTTTTTTTTTTTTCTGGTTTTTCGAGACAGGGTTTCTCTGTGTAGCTTTGCGCCTTTCCTGGATCTCGCTCTGTAGACCAGGCTGGCCTCGAACTCACAAAGATCCGCCTGCCTCTGCCTCCCAAGTGCTGGATTAAAGGCGTGCGCCACCACCGCCCGGCACCCTGTGTAGTTTTGGTGCCTGTCCTGGATATCGCTCTGTAGACCAGGCTGGCCTCAAACTCACAGAGGTCCACCTGCCTCTGCCTCCTAAAATAACACATAACATAAATATTACCATTTTAGCCATTTGCCCAGGCTAGCCTCAAACTTGCCAGCTTGGTCTTGAACTCACAATCCTTCTGCCTCAGCCATCCAAGTGCTGGGTTTATGTGCATGTGCTCCCATTCCTGGCACTGTTTGTTTTTAGAGACAGGGTCTTCCCTGTAGCCCAGGCCGGTCTCAAGCTTGAGGTTTTCCTGTCTCTGCCTCCTAATTGACCATTTTAGTTGTTGGAATTTGTTTGTTTGTTTTTGTTTTGTTTTTCCAAGACAGGCTTCCTCTGTGTAACAGCCCTGCCTTTCCTGGAACTTACTCTGTAGAGCAGGCTGACCTTGACCTCACAGAGATCCACCTGTCTCTGCCTTCCGAGTGCTGGAATTAAAGATGTGTGCCACCACTGCTTGGCAGTGGTTGGTTATTTTGAGAAAGAGTTCCATGTTTCCCAGGTCAGCATCAAACTTATTTTCTAGTCTAGAATGACCTTGAACCTCTGACCCTTCTGTCCTCATCTCCTGAGTGCCCAGTGTGCCCCAAACTGTCATTAAGTGTTCTCTCCTGTGACATTCAGTTCATTCACGTTTCAGGGCACTAACTGCGGGTTATTCTTCTCCCAAGCTTTCTTCTTTTTTTCATCTAAAGAACAGCCCATTAAAGAGCAGTTCCCCATTTACATATTCATAAATGAATACAGAAATATATGTATACATTTGCTAATATCCTGTTCTCCTGGATTTTGCAGACTAAGGTGTCAAGAAAGCAAATGATGTGGACCTGGGAAGAAATAAAAAATCTCGTAAGTGGTTCTGTTTAAAAACTGATTCACATGTCATGAACACATTGGTTGCTTCTACCCTTCAGGTTTTTGTGGATAAAATTGCTGTGATATTGGTGTTTGAATTTCCATTTTCAGTTGATTTAAATGCATGCTCAGAAGTGGGATTGCTGGGTCAGATAGTAATTCTATATTTGACTTTGTAAGAATCGACCATACCATTTTGCACAGTGGGTCCATCTATTCTCCTCAGCAATGTTCAATATTTCCAAGATCAGTTTTTCTGGGTTTGTGTTGATTTGTATTATTATTAATATAGTTTTTTAAAAAGTCCTGGCTAGCTTTGAACTCTTCCTCCTAAGTACTAGGTTTAGAGGCACTGTGCCACCATGTCCCACACTATTCTGTTTTTTTGAGACAGGGTGTCTTATGTCTCAGTCTGGCTCTGAACTCATGATATAGCCAAGGATGTTCTTGAACTCATTGTCCTGCCTCCACCTTCAGAGCACTCAGTTACAAGCATGCGCCACTATGACCAGTTCATTTAGTGTTGAGAATTGAACCCTGGGCTTCATGCATGTTCTACCAACTGAACTACATTCCCAACCCTGTAATAATAATAATAGTAATAACTGTGCTGGATAGTTTTATGTCAACTTGATACAAGCTAAAGTCATTTGAGAGGAGAGAACCTTAATTAAGAAAATACTTCAAAACCTGGCAGTATTGATGCATACCAACACTTGGAAGGCAGAGGCAGGTGGATCTACTGTGAGTTTGAGGCCAGTCTGGTCTACAGAGTGAGTTCCAGGACAGCCAGGGCTACACAGAGAAACCCTGACTTGAAAAAACAAACAAGCAATCAAAAAAAGAGACCAGCATCATTGAGGTAAAATCTTCTGGGAAGAGTTGCCTCGGGGTCAACCCACAGAAACTGTGTTCCAGAGGTGGTCGAGGCTGTACCTCAAGCTGGCAGCTCAACTTGGTAGTATAAGAGTCTCTCAGGTAGCCGGGTGGTGGTGGTGGTGGCGGCGGCGGCGGCGGCGGCGGCGGCGGCGGCGGCGGCGGCGCACCGCCTTTAATCCCAGCACTCGGGAGGCAGAGCCAGGCGGATCTCTGTGAGTTCGAGGCCAGCCTGGACTACCAAGTGAGTTCCAGGAAAGGTACAAAGCTACACAGAGAAACCCTGTCTCGAAAAAACCAAAAAAAAAAAAAAAGAGTCTCTCAGGTAGTGCTGTTTTTGAAGGCATGAAGGGGTCAATGAGGAGCAGCTGAGGCTTGGCACTGTGAGAGGCCAGGAGAGCATTGGTGAAGGTGCAGCTTCCATGGCAGTTGAAGTTCCAGAATTGAAGGGGTCATGCAGAGAAGCTGAGGCTTGGCCCCATGAAGAGAGCCCACCAGTGAAAATGCAGCCCAGTTTGCAGCAAGAGACACCAGCATTTGGAGATGCCAGTACCATGGGATGACCCCTGAGGACAGCAGCAGTGGTGGAGTGGAGCCTGACTGAACCTAGAAGACAAGCTGTGTGTGCTGCAGAGGGTGGAGCTGAATAAGTGGCCCAAGCCCTTTGGAGGAGTTCAGAAGATCATGAGTGAGTTCCAGATAATTGGACATTGAGTTATGTAACTGTTAGAGTTTGGTTTTGCTTTGTTCAGATAGTGACTGTGTCCTGGTTCTTCTCTCTTGAAGAAAGTAACTTAATTTTTATTTTTTATTATTTATTTTTTTTTTTAATTTTGATTTTTATAAGAGCCCATAACCGAAAGACTTTGGACTTTTAGAAGAAATTTTGAGCCAGGCAATAGTGGTGAATTCCTTTAAACCCAGCACTCAGGAGGCAGAGGCAGGCAGATCTCTGGTCTACAGAGCAAGTTCCAGGACAGCCAGGTCTACACAGAGAAACCCTGTCTTGAAACAAGAAAGAAAGAAAGAAAGAAAGAAAGAAAGAAAGAAAGAAAGAAAGAAAGAAAGAAAGAAAGAAAGAAAGAAAGACAGAAAGAAAGAAAGAAGAAAGAAAGAAAGAAAGAAAGAAAGAAAGAAAGAAAGAAAGAAAGAAAGAAAGAAAGAAAGAGAAAGAAAGGAAGAAAGAAAGAAAGAAAGAAAGAAAGAAAGAAAGAGAAAGAAAGAAAGAAAGAAAAAGAAAGGAAGGAAGGAAGGAAGGAAGGAAGGAAGAAAGAAAGAGAAAGAAAGGAAGAAAGAAAGAAAGAAAGAAAGAAAGAAAGAAAGAAAGAAAGAAAGAAAGAAAGAAAGAAGGAAGGAAGGAAGGAAGGAAGAAAAGAAAAGAAAAGAAAGAAAGAAGAAAAAGGAAAAGAAAAGAAACCTTAACTAAGACAATGAGCTCCTGACTCCAGGTTCCTGCCCTGTTTGAGTTCCTGTCCTGACTTCCTTCAAGGATAAGCAGTGATATGGAAATGTAAGACAAATAAAGCCTTTCCTCCCCAGTTTGTTTATGGTGATGATGTTTTATCACAGCAACAGGAATCCTAACTAAGACAATAACTATTATTATTATTATTATTAACTGAGCTATATCCCCAGTCCTGCTGTTATTGTTACTGTTATGTGTGAATGATGTGTTTCTATAGAGGCTGTGGTGGTTTGAATGAGAATGGCCACATAGGCTCACCATCAGTTGGTGGAACTGTTTGGGAAGGATTAAGAGGTGTGACCTTGTTAGAGGAAGTGTGTCACTGGGGGAGGGTCTTTAGGTTTCAAAAGTCCATGCCTTTCCCAGTGTCTCATTCTCTGCCTCCTACTTGTGGATCAGGATGTGAGCTCTCGGCTGTTCCTGATGCCATCCCATTGCTCCACCATCATGGACTTTAAACCTCTGAAACTGTAAGCCCAATTAAACACCTCCTTCAGTAAGTTGCCTTGGTCATGATCTCTTATCATGGCAATAGAGAAATAAAACAGAAGTCAAAGGACAACTTTGTTGATGTATAAATCTAACTAATCTTATCAATAAAAACCAAGAGTCAGATATCAGGGTAAAAACCTGAAAGATCAGAGAAGCAGGGGAGCAGCCACAGTGACTTCCTACCTTTCAGGTTTCTTCAACCAAAAGGGCCAAGATCCTGTTTTAGCCCAGCCTTACCACTTCTTGTCCCCCTCTCTACGGTCCTCCAAACCTGTATGGTTAACTAGTGGCTAGCTCCACCCCATGACCCCAAGCAGAGGAACACAAACAAAATATCATACATTTTCCCCCTTTTTGTCTAAATAAAAAGCAAAGATTTTAACTAACATAGAAAAACTATATACAATATATATAATAACTATAAACAAAGATATACAGGCAATAATTACATTAACAATGTCTAGTCCATTAACATTTAACAAATTCAGAGAAAATATTCCATTATCTATCCTATCTTGGTGAGTCCAAAATGTACCTAATTCACTTATTATCCTAACTTGAATTACCAACCCAAAAGTATCTTTTTATGTCTCTCAACACCTCTTTTGTGAGTTTCTTTTCTGAATTTGTTAACAAGGACAACTGTAACTATCTAGTCTTCAGCTCCATCAGAGACCTGAGAAGGATATATTACCTGAGTAAACAGAAATTATAAAGCAAACAACTTCTAAAACTAAGAAGTGACAGAAACAGCTGGCTGCCTGGACAGTCACCCAAGGATCCTCTGTAACATTGGGGCATCCATCTTCAGTCTGCAGACCTAGTGTATCTGACAGAATTTTTTTTCTTTTTTCTTTTAATATTTATTTATTTGTTTGTTTGTTTATTTATTTATTTATTTATTTGAGACAGGGTTTCTCTGTGTAGCTTTGGAGCCTGTCCTGGAACTTGCTCTGTAGACCAGGTTGGCCTCAAACTCACAGAGATCCACCTGGCTCTGCCTCCCCAGTGCTGGGATTAAAGGCATGCGACACCACCACCCAGCTCTGACAGGATTTTTGAAGGACTGCCCTGCCTTGTCTTGGCAAAGTTCAGCAGTCACTTTCTTTTGTGTCCTGCTTGTTAAATTTGAACAGCATACTGTCAACAGGTGAGGCAATGGCAGTTTCTTGATGAGTGGCTAACTTTTGCTACAAAGAAAGTAAACTCCATATGGAATTTCTGTGATGCCCATCATCTTCTCTGTAGTAGGTTGGTGCTGCCAGGAGCAGACATGTCTCATGTCATAAAAAAAAACAAAAACAACTTGTGTTATTACAACATCTTAAATGCCATATTTTGTAGATCTCTGAAGTGTTTGAAGACCACCTGTCTATCTAAAATATATCTCTGTTTGACCTTGAAAACATACCTGACTACAAGTTTGATTGTAATAGGTGACTAGTTACTGACTTGCATTTCTTTATTATCCTAAATAGTTTGTAATAATAACTTTCAAGGACTAGAAATTTACATTACATTGTTAAATGAGCTGTATAGGTACAATACCTTGAACAAGAGTAGAAACATATGTATAGTATGTTCTAACCAAAATAACCTTAAATTTGTATCTATATAAAAAAAATCTTAAACAAGAGTAGAAACATATATAGTACAACAAAAATAACCTTAAAAATGTATCAATATATAAAACTCCATATCAATGTAAAATAGTTAAGGCTAGTAGATGCTTTTTTGTTTAAAAGTAGATTCAATAATCTACCCTTTTATCCTATTTCTCTATCCCCCCTTTTTTTCCTAACCATTATCAATAACCTGTAGCCAACCCCACTAAACAATGACAGATATCCATAACCCACTGAACGACCAAATAACACCTACCCCACCTCTTGGAAATATGGGTGTTGTATTCTTAAAATTACTTCCTGCTGTCTGGGGGTGATGGCATCTTGGGGGGGGGCCTGAAAAAAATTGGGATAATTGTCAAGTCCTGGAAGAGCTAGCTGTATCATTTGTTGTCCAGTCTCTGTGTAATGGGAAGGTGCAGGGCTTGTCTCAAGTCCTGGCTGGAGTAGTCTGTGAGCCTAGACCATCTCAGCTAGCCACCTTGAAATTGTTCTGAGAATTCTGGAGTCCAAAGCCGATCTTTTTGTGGCATTTG